AGAGTAAGTACGTTTTTTTTAATTAGCTTACAGCCATGTTCCTTTGTGTTGTGTTTTCAACATCACAATTGTTTTTCAGTGACATGTATGGTACTGTCTTCTATGAACCTTGCTGATTTTTGTTTTTTCCTGGGATTATCAAACATTGTTCATAGCCTTGTCTTTTGGTAGGATAGACTTTCTCTTTTGAACTAATTACTGCAACTGGTAACAAATAATCATGAGGCTGTACTGAACCAACAATTTCCTTCCTCAAATTCAAACCCAGGTTTATTTTTTTTTAATTTTGTTTCTTGACCTCATTTTAAAGGAACRGGTTGTGCTAGTATTTTGGCTTGTGGATTGTTATTTCTTCTTCATGTTAACTGTATTCCCACTTAACAACTTTCTTAATTGGACTTTCCTGACTTCTTTCTAGTCTTTACATTCATTAGCTTGTGTGTAAAGAGAGTGTTTCTTCCATGTAATTTTCTTGCCTTTAAATTTTCTCATTCTTTTGGTCAAATTTCTAAAGATTATTACTTTCTCCTTTTTTTTTTTTTTTTTTTTTTTTTTTTTTTTTACGATTTTTTTTTTTGACTGGTTTTTAGACGTGTGCTCTTCCGATCCAGACTTTATCTGCACTTAATTTTAGTTTCCTTAAGCTGGTTAGATTTCAAATCCCTTTGGACTGCATCATCGCTAATAAAGTGTACCATTGTCTGTTAGTGAGGACAGCTGGCACAGATTGAGATTTGTCCTTTCTGTTAATCTTCCAGCCTTAAAACAGGTAGCTGTGTGCRCAGTACTATTTGGAAGTTTTCCCAGCCATGTGATAACCCTCAGATTGTTCCCAGAGGTTGGAAGAGTGCAGTTGGCCTTTATCAAAAGTATTTCAGGACTCGTTCTGACGTGATGATTTGCATTTCAGTGTCTAGGAGAGTTTTAGTCATTAATATATTGATGTAACCTTTAAGGTTAACTTTTGTAAAGACAATAGTCAAGCCAGTTACCAGCTAAAAGTTAACTCAGTTTTAKTTGTGATCTTTTTCCTAAAGGCTTACACTGTGAATCATTAATATTAAATCTTAAGCTTTGAATAATTCTGCTAGCTGTGTAGAATAAGAATACCCCATACCAAACAACAACAAGAAAACCCCAATCTCAGCACAACTGAGATAAAGAAATAAACAATCTCCTACTCCCTTATCCACTTAAATTTTCTGGTTTGGTARTTTATAGAAGGTCTGCATTTTCCTGTTTATTTCTTCACTGTAAATTCTTCATTCTAATGTTATGTGGAGTGTTTAGCTTCTATTGCATTCTGAATTTCAGAACATATATAATAGTCTTAAGATGTTCAAGACAAGATTTCCTGCACCATCCTATATATCTGTACTCCCTGAGCCTAGTATGCCCTCTAACAGGATGGAGTACCTCATTAAATCTGTTGTGTCAATTGAGCTTTATTTTTGTTTGCTTTCAAAGGTTTCCAGCTACCCTGATTTTTATTCCCATAGTTCTTTTGTTATTTTACTGAGAAGCAGAAGCTTACAAGAAAGCTCTGAAGATATTTTAGTGTTTGCCACCTTCTCCTCCCTGTGACCCTTTAACTACCCACGCCTGCCACTCATTACTTTGGAGCTGTGATCTAGGTTGCCATTTGTAAGTCTTGTTATTTTATTAAAGAGGACAGTCTTTGCCTTTAATTTGCTCACTGGTGATTTGAATGACAGCAAAGTTTTAGCCTGCCAGGCTGGGAAGCACAGATGGCACTTCACATGGCTGAGAAAAAGTGGAACTCTGGGGAAAAGAAGCATATGTTTTCCTGGATTTGAGAGAACTAAAAGAGGTCCAGTGCTTGAAGTGTTTTTCCAAATTTTCCCCAAATTTGCACTACACATGCAATAGTGTAATGTATTAGCAGTGTCACTCTAGAATACATGAAACTTTGTAAAGAGAAAAATGTAGGGCTGCAGACACTGAACAACCAGGGCCATGTAAATGAAAGGGAAACATGAGTCAACATGGGCCAGTGTGTCTTGAAGGAGGGGAGCAGGAAAGAACTTGAGAATTGTGCAGTGCCACATRGGTTTATTACCTTCTGAGTCACCTTCCTCTGGCAAGTGGATAGGTTAAAATGTGTTTATATTTGGAATGTTATTTTATAACTTAGTTCTTCATTTGGCCCTTTATATGTCCATGAAAGAAGTCATCAGATTGTGTACTGTTCTGTGTAGKGCATCAGTTTTGTAGTGTTCTGAGTTTGTGCCTTGAGAAACCGTTATGTGTGAAAATTTCAATATGATGAAAGGACTTTATACCTCGTAGCAACTATTTTATATTTTGTTCTTTAAAGGATAGGCACTTAGTGATACTGAATTTTGTTCCTAATTGTTATTTCTACTGTTAAAAATGGTGTACTCTTAGAACAAGGTCAGAGTGGTACAGTACTGTGTAACAAAGAAGAACGAGTGTGAGGAAATCTTTTATGCTTATTTTGAGAAATATTGAGGATCTTGCTTGATCGAAAGTGGAATTCCATTGAACAACTGTATGTCCTCAAACCTGTGGTAATCAAAGCTTGTTTGAAGGAGAATCTCCTCTGCARAACTGAACTGCAGAAAGAATCCTGTGCACTTCTCTGCAAAACAGATAATTCCTGGGAGCGAGCTTCGCTGTGCAGAARTTTGACGATTTGGCTTTATACCTTGCATATGCCAGCTTTTTTAGCTCTTAGCAGTAAGGAATCTGAAGAAAAAAAAACCTCAACAAAACCAGACCACAAACTATTATAAAATGTATATAGAAAACCCTATATGCATTTTTTAATTACATATGTAAAAAAGATCAGCTTTCCTTCTGTTTCTGTGGGATATTCTTTCTTTCCGTATTTGTTTAAAGAAATTTGCCTAATACCAGCAGCTAACAGTGCTGCCAGACAGATGGATTGATGGGTGTAGGAGAAATGAAGTTCTGTTTTTCAGTTACATTACTTCTCTGTTAGAAACATACATTGTCTCTTAAACCTGGAAAAATCATGTTCTGAGCCTCACTCAGGCTTACAGAAGGAATATTTTTTCCTGTCTTTTTCTTTACCAGTTTACTGTTTTGTTGTTTGTTTGTTTTAAGTGGTTTTGCTGTATAAAATGGATTCTTCTCATGCAGTGTTCTCCCTWACATAGGTTCAGTCACTTCTGCCAGCTGCTTGAAACTGTAGAGCTGGCAGTGAAATATACAGGTGAATATTTAATCAATTAATTATTTTTTTTCAATTAATCGTTGGCAATATGTGGACAATCTCCCTGGGACAGAGGTATAAACTACATTGAAACTTCATAGATTTTTTTTCTCCTCCACTTTGTTAACAATTATTAAATAGCTWCTTTACTGCAGTGATATATTAGTGGAGAAAAAAGACCCAGTCATGCTTTCTTTGTTTTTTTATTCTTTGTGCTTTTATATATTTTAGGTTAGCACAGTTCAGAACTTTGGGAAGCTTTCTGTAGGGTGTGGGGATTTGCCCAGGCTGGTAGGACTGGAAGGCCTTTTGGCACTTCTTGCAGTTCTGTTGCTTACAAACAAGTCAGCTTGTAAATTTAGTAATAATTCATTTCATTATATKAAATGTAAATGTTTCCACTTCATGTTTACCATGAGCCAATCCGTCCAAATCTATTTTTCCATATGTATGGTTCACATAATGTACTAACTTCTACTTGTTAATGAGGTTGCAAATATGAAGTAAGTGTAATGTGAGTAAGAAGATACATCACAAGGCTTCATAGGAAAGCAAGAGTAACCATCCTTCTAGACCATGCTCTGATGGGTTCCCTGTAGGGCTACGTCTTGGAACAGGTGGGCTCTGTATTTTGTTCTGCTTGGCTTCTTGAGTCACCTTCAGCTGAAAGTTTCACCTCTCCATTTTTGTGAAGCAGGCAGTGTAACTGATTTGATGAGAGCTACAATAAAAGAACTAGTTTATTTTTTCTGGAAAAGTAAAATCCTGATTTTACTCTTTATAGATGGACTAACACAGTGGTAATTTTTTCAATACATGGACTAACACAGTGGGTTTTTTTGGTTGGAATTCCTGAGATACTTAATCACAGCAAAAGCTATAACCTTTTCATTTAGTGCTGCCTTTGCCAAAGTATACCCAAACTATCAATCTTRAATAGAAGTGAAAATAGGCTATCTCCCTGTTTCCCCCAGGCATTCCATTTTTGGAAGTTCATGGGCTCTGACTTTGTAGGTGCTGATTACTTTAAATAATTTATTACATGAATAGGAAAACACAGAATTCAGATTTTATCACATTTACTGCTTTTGAGAGGTTTAGAGTTGCCAGTTCACCTTGTTAATTTAACAGTACAGCWGCTGAAGCTTCTCTTTGAAATAGAAAATCACTTAATTTTCATTCAAAAGTAAGACTAATTTGGCAGAATTCTCATTTCAGTAAAAGTCAGTTATCTGAAGCATTTATCATTTTCTCCTTCGTTCCTATTCCTSGTACTATTGTTGCTTTAATTGGTTTCCTGTTTATTTTATTTTCTGCTTTTATTCCTTTCCTTGAAGTCAGGTTCACAAATAAGCTTTTTCAATGACCAATTTATTGGTGTTTCAGAGTTTGAYAGTGCAGCTTCTGATTGGTTTTCTGTTAAATGGCCAGGAATCATCGTGTAGTTTGGTAGTGAGCTGCCATTCTCAATTAGTGAGACAATTGTTAGGAAATGACGTAGTAAYTCCATGCCTTGAGAACCCCAAAGTAAGAATTTGTTGAAGACAGTTGTTTCTTCACTGAAGGAGTTGTCAAGCACTGTGACAGGCTGCCCAAGGAAGTTGTTGAGCCTCCATTCCCGGGTGAATTTAAAAGATGTGTGGATGTGGCTCTTAAGGACATGGTTTGATGGTGGACTTGGCAGCGATGGGTTTGCAGCTGGACTTGATATTAAAGGTATTTTCTAACCTAAATGATTCTGTGACAAAAACTAATGATCTTTTTCCTCTTCTACTTTCAGAGAATTACCTGTGCTTCAAAATGAAAGTGAGGAAGAAGTATCCCCRAAAGTATTAATCTGAACAATAATTATTGCTTATAAGTAAGTACTTCTTGGTTTTTTGTGATGTTGCCTCCACAACTGAAAACTGCTCTTCCGTTGATAAGTCCTTGTCAGCTGAAAAAAGGAAACTTTGAAAAAGAGAGAGGTCAGGTGTCAGACTTTCGTGTCAGACCACTGACAAAATTGGGTCAGCCAAACACCTGTTTCACCTTTCATTTCTCCTTACAACTGTTTCTCTCCCTGCTCCTCTTTGCCTCTCATCTCTAGAAAGAGAAATTTTTTGGTGGATTTATTTATTATGTATCCTCTGTCTTACATTCAAAGTTCTGTATTTCTTTGGCAGTATTTCTGGGCCCCTTTTGTCTATATTGCAGATATTCCATGTATTTCTCATAAATTGTACGTCTGTCGATGCTGGGCATGGACTCTACTCTGTGAAGTTTTTCAAGAGTTCTAAGCAGCTAAGCTGTTATGGGTAGAAAGTATTGTGTGTTCTGGGTTATCCCAGATCAGTGCTAGTTAATACTTCCCATTCTTATGCTTTTGAAGATCTATGTAAGTACTATAACACTCATGTTCAAGGACATGTGTTTTTTAAAATTTAAATAAAACTTAGCAGAAAGGTTACTTTCTTCATTTTGAGAAGTTGCTTAAAGAATGAAATGTTCTTCACTGAAACATGAATTTGGGTATGTACTTGGAAACCGAGCATATTATAACATAATTTTTTTTTATGCGAATGTAAAAAAGACTGTTACCATCAGTATTCCTAATTATGATAAGAAAGTTGTGAAAATTTCTTAAACTTTCACAATTGAGCAAATTGGACTAAGAGCTCAAGCAAATTTCTTGAAGATTAAATGCATTTACAGTTCACCCAATTTCACTACTGGTTGTCAAGCTGGTGATATCTAAAGTGCTCTCAATTATTTTGATTTATTTGTGCACTTATAACTCTATAAGTACTGTGTTATTGGAAGAGTTTAATGAATGGTTAATTAAATCTTTAAAAAAGAAAGAAGTAGGAATTCAAATAATGTTCTCGGGACCTTCTGGCCAGGAATAGATGATTTGACTTTGGAGAGGAGCAGGCTTCTATGAAAGCTTTAGAGTAGARTTAGCTAATCTTGTCAGATCTCTCTCAGCCATTGCAGTTAGTAGGAATGGTTGATTGATATGGAGTAGAAACAATGATTCAGAGGGGAAAAGATAACTAGGAAGTCTGTAGTAGTCTTGCCCCCACTCCATCCTCCAACCCTGCAGCCCCATGTGTAGTGTCTGTGTGTTCCAGGCTCTGAAAGTGAATGAAAGGTAGATGAATTTTTGTGACTTCTCAAAACCTCATTTCCAGTCAGAATTGGCTGGTCCCTTGTACATGATGTTATGTAATATAACAATTTGTATCTTGTTTTGCAGTTTTGTAAATTAAAATTTGTTTCTTTGTGAGGTCCTGCATGCATACATGCATATGTAATTACTCAGTTTTGCACTTCCTGTTGTTCTGTGCTCCCACTGACTTGGTTTGTCCGGAAACCGTGGTGATGCTGTCACTGTCTTTAGCAGAGGTGCGTTCCTTCCTTTAGCAGGAACAAGCACAATGGTTGAGAGCTGCATGAAACCTCTTGTCACCTTTTCTGTTTAGTTGGTGTGGGAGGGTAATTAAAAGGATTTGTGCAGGTCTGTGAACTGCAGTGCCTGGGGCAATAGTTAAGGCAGTGGTTTGGTGTAGGCATTGCTCAACTGCTGAGGGAGATTGAGCACTGGGGAAAGCTGATTTGAGCTTTGTGTTTAGGTAAGATCTGGGTCGTGCTTGTGGGTTGAGACAACTGAGCAGTAGAGGGAAGGTGATACCTTTCCTGTATTATTTGATTATGCAATCTCTGTATTGTGTTGGATTCCTGCTTCCTGTCAGATTTTATAACAAGCTGCATTTCTAATTATTTTCTGCTGTCACAGTCTGGCTTGRGAAAACTGTATTTCATCCATATACTTAKTTAATATATTTTTCCTGATTATTTTCACATATAAAGATGTGTTCCCATGGTCGTCTTTCCCTTTTTTTTTTCCCTTCAAATAATTTTTCACACTTAGTCTAATCCATTCCATCTATGAACTGCTGTTCTGTGGTTTGTTAAGAGAGAAAGATCAAATCAACATTTTTTATTGCATTCTAAAACTCTTMTCCTTTCATGGATGTTCTGTAACTTCGATTAATCTGTGATAGGCTTTTCAAGATAAACTAATCTCTGGAAAAGGCCTGTATATCTTGAGTTTTATTTATTGTACAGGCACCTAAAATCTCGGATAGATATTTTCTGTTTCTACATATCTAAATAGATCAGCATATGATTCCTGATGGAAAATACCTTTTCAGAAGGGTATGTTGCTGATTTAGCCCTGCCATTTTATCAGTACTGTCCCTCTGTGGTTCTGGGGTATCTATGATCTTGCTTGCTGCTTTCCCCTTGTCTGACAATCAGCAAAGTCTGTTTCTTGTTCTAACATTTGGCTTCAGTCTGCTCTTCTATCCTGGTAGACATTTAGCTTGGATACTTCTTTGAARGATTGCTTATTGCTCCTCTATCTCTCTGAACTGTATTCTTTGTTAAAGTGTGTTCTAGATAAGTCAGTTCTGCTGCAGCAGCACAGASAACAGTCTTTTATGTTTTTCTTTTCAAGAAGAGAGGATGCTAATGGATCCATTGACACATGTTTTTACTGCAGTGAAAAATGATACCAGGTTGAGATACKGCAGAGAGGTTGGAAGACTGGAGGAGAATTTAACATGAAGCAAGAAAGTAGAATGATCAGAGAAAAACAGGATTGAAGCCATTTAGGGCAAACTTAAAATACTGCTTTTAAATGAAAGAAAAAGAAAATAGGCTAGTACAGGATAAGGAGTGGCTGAGAGTTCTGAAGAAAGAGATTGAGTGTTAAGAACTGAYCTTAAATCAAGAGTATCATGCACAAAAAGTATTTCTTAAAATGTAACATCACACCAGGATGAGTAAATGAAAGCACTGTCATTCAGCWCTCTAAAACTGACGTAAATCTCTCTGCACAGCCTAGGGTAGAAATGGATTCAGCTCAGTCATTGTGTCTGGTTTGGAGCTCTTAATACATGCAAACAAATCGAAATTACCTTGCCAAATTGGAGAGCCCAGAAGAACATAGTGTTGAAAATTATAATAGTTGATCCAAGATGTGTGAGGAGAGGTGAAATAATGAGGCTGATTAAGGGGCTTGCATTCTTACTAGCAGAGATTAATGCATTGAGGCTTGTGAAGCACAGGAAAGTGGGAAGAGCATGTTTTTGTCTTTGGAAGTTCATAAAATGTAGTCAGACACATAAGAGCATGTGTGATCTCCTGTTAGATGAGAGGAGTAATTTAATAATCTTCTGCTAACCCTATTACATTTTATGATTTAATGTCTTGAATTTTAGATGTTTGGTGGCTTGGTTTGGTGGTTCTTGTTATTGTTGTTGTTGTT